TTCTACATCTGACTTTGTTTTCTTTTTTTTTTATCCTCACCCGAGGACAATTTTCCATTTTTTGTTCAGATAGAGTGGGAAGGAGAGAGAGGGAAAGAGAGAGAGAGAGAAACATTAATGTGAAAGGGACACATTAAGTGGCTGCCTCCTGCACGATCCAACCAGTGCCAGGGACAAACTGCAACCGAGGTACATGCCCTTAGCAGGGACTGAACCTGGGTCTCTCTGGACCTCAGGCCGACGCTCTAACCACTGAGCAAACCAGCCAGGGCATGACGTTGTTTTCATTGACAGTATTAGACACTTCGAAATCCTCTATTTTGAGTCTTCACTGGAAAGAACATGGGAGCTCTGTGGAGGATAGATTGGAAGAAGGAAACAGGATAGGACATTACCTGTTAATCTAGTTAAGAGATAATGAACACAAAAGCAAAGGCCATAGCAGTGGTATTCGTGAGGTAGAAGCCACAATATTTGGTAACTAATGGGTTGAGGAAGAGGAGGTGAAGACAAGAATAGGACACTTCCTAAGTTTGAGGACTGAACAGATGGGATGGCATTTATTAAGATACGGGATGCAGAAGGAGGACTAGTTTAAGGAAGAAAGATTCATTTTTAGAAATGCTGCATTATGGTTTAGAGCACCCAGATGGAGGTGTGTGGTGGATAGTTAGAAATCAATGTTAAGAGTTTAGGAGAAAAGTCAGGACTGAAGATACAGGTTTGAGAGTCATCTGCTCCTGGGAGGTAATTGACATCTGGAGTTTCCAGGGAAAGAGTTGAGAAGGTGAACAAGGACAGAAAGATCCTGGTAAACACCTTATTTATGAGTTGAGCAGAGGAAGATGAATTATTAATGGAATCTGTATTATTGACCTATTTCTTTTCTATGTTTTGTTTTTTTTTTAATTGATTTTAGAGACAGAAAGGAAGAGGGAGAGAGAAAGAAAGAAACATCGATTGGCTGCCTCCTGCACGCCCCGCACTGGGTATCGAGTGGAAACCTGGGCCTGTGCCCTGACCAGGAATCGAACTGGTGACTGCTCCGTGCATGGGATGATGTTCAACCAACTGAGCCACATTGGCTAGGGCAGTGATCTATTTCTGCTACAATGAATCACCACAAAGAGTGGCTTAAAACAACACAAATTTATTATCTTGAGGTTCTGAGGATCAGAAGTCCAAAATAGGTACCACTGCACTGAAGTCAAAGTGTTGGCAGGGCTGTGGTTTCTTTTTTTTTTTTTTAGAGGCTCTAGGGGAGGATCTCTTGTCTTGCCTTTTCCAGTTTCTAGAGGCTGCCTGTATTTCTTAGCTCGTGGCCCCACTTCCAAGCAGCAATGTTATCACTCCAACCTCTGCTTCTGTTATCACATCTTTCATGACTCCTCTCTGAGCCTTTCTCTTTCACTTATAAGGACCCCTGTGATTACATCAGGCCCACCAGATAATCCAGGATAATCTCTCCATTTAAAAATCTTTAATTTAGCCCTGGCCGGTTTGGCTCAGCGGTTAGAATGTCGGCCCAGAAAGACCCGGGTTCGGTTCCCGCTAAGAGCACGTACCTTGGTTGCAGTTTGTCCCCGGTCCTGGTTGGGGTCGTATGGGTGGAAACCAGTCGATGTGTCTCTCTCACATTGATATTTCTCTCTCTCTCTTCCTCTCTCTCTCTCTCTCCCTCCCACTCTATCTGAGGATGAATGCAAAAATGTCCTCGGGTGAGGATTAAAAAAAAATCCTTGCCCTGGCCAGTTTGGCTCAGCAGTTAGATCGTCGACCTACAGACCAGAGAATCCTGGGTTCGGTTCCCACTAAGGGCATGTACCTCAGTTGCAGTTTGTCCTCGGACCCAGTTGGTGTTGTGTGGGTGGCAACCAGTAGATGTGTCCCTCTCATGTCGATGTTTCTCTCTCTTTCTTCCTCCCCATCTCCCTCCCACTCAATCTGAAGATAAATGCAAAAATGTCCTCAGGTGAGGATAAAAAAAAAAATCTTAATTTAATCACATCTGCAGTCTCTTACCATGTAAGGCAACATATTCACAGATTCTGGAGATTAGGATGTGGACATCTTTGAGGGGCCATTGTAATGTCCCCTACAGAGACTAAGAAGGAACAGTCAGAGAGGGTCCTCTGTAATTTAGAGAGTGCTATTTTAGAAGCCAAGTGAGTAGTTTCATGGGTTAAAATAATAACTAAAGAGCCCTGGCTGGTTTGGTTTAGCAGTTAGAGCGTCGGCCCATGGACCAATGAGTCGTGGGTTTGATTCCAGTCAAGGGCACGTACCTTAGTTGCAGTTCATCCCTAGCTCTGGTCCATTCGTGCAGGAGGCAACCAGTCGATGTGGCTCTATCACATCGATGTTTCTCTCTCTCTCTCCCTCCCTCCCAATCTATCTGATGATAAATAGAAAAATGTCCTCAGCCCTGGCCGGTTTCGCTCAGCAGTTAGAGCGTCGGCCTGCGGTCCGGAAAGACCTGGGTTCGGTTCCCATTAAGGGCACGTACCTCGGTTGCAGTTTGTCCCCGGCCCTGGTTGGGTCGTGTGGGTGGCAGCCACTCGATGTGTCCCTTTCACATCGATGTTTCTCTCTCTCTTCCTCTCTCTCCCTCCCGCACTGTCTGAACAAAAAATGGAAAAATGTCCTCGGGTGAGGATTAAAAAAAAAAAAAGAGCCCTGGCCAGTTTGGCTCAGCGGTTAGAGCGTTGGCCTGCGGTCCAGAGAGACCCGGATTTGGTTCCCGCTAAGGGCACGTACTTCGGTTGCAGTTTGTCCCTGGCCCTGGTTGGTCGTGCGGGTGGCAGCCACTCGATGTGTCCCTTCACGTCGATGTTTCTCTCTCTCTCTCTCTCCCTTCCTCTCTCTCCCTCCCACTCTATCTGTACAAAAAATGGAAAAATATCCTCGGGTGAGGATAAAAAAAAAAAAAAAAAGAAAGAAAAATGTCCTCAGATGAAGAATTAAAAAAAAAACTAAAAAGCCCTGGCCGGTTTGGCTCAGCGGTTGGAGCGTCGGCCTGCGGTACAGAGAGACCCGGGTTCGGTTCCCGCTAAGGGCATGTACCTCGGTTGCAGTTTGTCCCTGGCCCTGGTTGGTCGTGTGGGTGGCAACCACTCGATGTGTCCCTTCACATCGATGTTTCTCTCTCTCTCTCTTCCTCTCTCTCCCTCCCGCTCTGTCTGAACAAAAAATGCAAAAATGTCCTCGGGTGAGGATAAAAAAAAACAAAAAACAAAAAAACTAAAAAGATACTATTGAGCCTTGGCTGGGTTAGAGCACCAGCCTGTGGACCAGTGTTGTGGATTTGATTCTCAATCAAAGGCATGTACCTGGGTTGCAGGTTTGATTCCAGGTCCTGGTCAGGGTCATGTGGGAGGCAACAAATCAATGTGTGTCTCTCTCACATTGATGGTTCTCTCTCTCTCTCTCCCTCCCTTCCTCCCACTCGATCTAAAAATTAACGGAAAAGTATCCTTGGGTGAGGATTAACAACAACAAAAACAAAAGATATATTATTGGTTTTGGCAGAAATCGTTGTCAATCTGCCAAAATAACTTCAGCAGGGTAGTATGGTGAAAGGCAAATCACAGTGGGTTGAACTATTGATGGAATGTGAGGAAGTGAAAACCCATTTTTGTTATGTTTTTCTTCCTGATTACAAAAAATAATACATGCTTATAGTAAAAAATATAATTGAAACATTTCAAATATATATGCCAAGACAGTTTAAGCTCCCTGTAATCTACTCCCTAAAGTTTTGGAGTCTATTTCTTCATGGTTTGCTTTCTAGATACATACTAATTTGTATTTAAACAAGGACATTTTACAGATTTTTTTTTTCTTTCATTTTTTTTTTAATTAGACAGTTCATCTTGGTTGTCATTGTATTTCAATACATTCAGGTTTGCCTCACTCTTTTTATTACTGAATAGCATTATATTGTGTGACCATGTCATTTATGTCATTATTTATTTATTTATTTATTTTGAGAGTATGTTTATTAAAGATGGGGACAGCCCTGGCCAGTTTGGCTCAGCGGGTAGAGCGACAGCCCACGGACCAGAGAGTCCCAGGTTCAGTTCCCACTAAGGGCACATACCCTGGTTGTAGTTTGTCCCTGGCCCCAGTTAGGGTTGTGTGGGTGGCAACCACTCGATGTGTCTCTCTCATGTCGATGTTTCTCTCTCTCTCTTCCTTCCTCTCTCCCTCCTGCTCTATCTGAAGATTAATACAAAAATGTCCTTGGGTGAGGATAAAAAAATAAAAAAAAAGCTGGGGACAGTGAAACAAGAAAGGGCTTAGAATAGAAGAAGCAACAGGAGAGAGTCTAGGCAGGCCTGCTTTGAATCTCTAGAAATTTTATAGGAAGGAAGAAATGAGCCTAAGTGGGGCTGCTTTGACTCACTGGAAAGTCAGAAAAAATTAGGGCCTTGGAAACAGGTTCAGGGGGTTAGCCTGGGAGGAGCAGCTACTGCCCATTGCTCCCTGGTTGTAAGGCTTATGTGGACTGTTAGAGTTTAGGAGATGCATGCCTTTGGGGGAAGAAAGGTGTGGGCTCCAGGGAGGGAAAGTGCTTGTCATAATTTATTTAATCAGTCCCCTATTGATAGACATTTGAGTAACATTCAGTCTTTATTACAAACCATGCTGTAGTAAACACCTTTGCACGTCTATCACTGAACACAGACATTAGAATTTCTCTAGGAGAGATTTCAAGAAGTGAAATTTCTGGCTCAAAGAGTATAAAAACTTTACATTCGAGCCCTGGCCAAAGCAGTTAGAGCATCGGCCCATGGAGGGTTCGTCCCTGGCCCTGGTCAGTGTCATGCAGGAGGCAACCAGTCGATGTGTCTCTCTCGCATCGATGTTTCTCTCTCTCTCTCCCTGCCTCCCTCCCTCCCATTCTGTCTGAAGATAAATGGGAAAATATTCTCAGGTGAGGATTAAAAAAAACAACTTTACATTTGAGTAGTTATTTTCTTTTTAAAAAAGATGTCATAGTGCTCCTTCAGCAGCACATATACTAAAGTTGGAACAATACAGAGAAGATTAGCATGGCCTCTGAGCAAAAATGACACGCAAATTCGTGAAGCATTCGATATTGACAACAAAAAAGACAAAATAATACCTCAGTACATGTTCACTATCAATTTTTTTGAAAAGTAAAATATGTAAGTCTTCACATACAGGTCTCTTCTCCCCTACTCCTCACTAAATTCCACATATCTCACAGAGATAGCCACTGTTTCCTATTTGTATTCATTTTTCTGTTTTTACATTCACGCACACACACTTTTTAAACAAACGTAAATGGGATCATACTAAAATTTTTTTGGTTCTTTTTTTTTAATTAATTAATTTTTGTTACAGATGTTTCTCCATTTTCCCCCCACTGAAACCCCCCTCCCCTTTCCTCTGCACCCTGTCCCCACCTTTGTTGTCCATGTCCATTGTTCATGCATACATGCATATAAGTTCTGTGGTTTATCTCTTCCCCCCACCCCCTCTTCTGGGGATTGTCAGTCTGTACCCCACTTCCACATCTCTGGGACTACCCCATTCCTCAGACTGTTATGTTCATTATATTCCACAAATAAGTGAGATCATGTGATATTTGTCTTTCTCTGCTTGGCTTGTTTCACTTAGGATAATACTCTGCAGGTCCCTCCATGTAGTCTCAAAGGATAAGAAATCTTTCTTTCTTACAGCTGCATAGTACTCCATTGTGTATATGTACCACAGCTTTTTTATCCATTCGTCTACTGATGGACATCTGATCTGTTTCCAGATATTAGCTATTGTAAATAGTGCTGCTATGAACATGGGGGTACATATATTCTTTCTGATTGGTGTTTCAGGTTTCTTAGGGTATATTCCTAGAAGTGGGATCTCTGGGTCAAATGGAATTTCAATTTTTAAATTTTTTTTTTATCCTCACCTGAGGACATTTTTCAATATTTTGTTCAGATAGAGTGGGAGAGAGAGAGAGAGAAAAAAAACCGACGTGAAAGGGACACTTCGAGCGGCTGCGACCCGCTCGACCAACCAGGGCCGGGGACAAACTGCAACCAAGGTGCACGCCCTTAGCAGGAACCAAACCCAGGTCTCTCTGGACCAAAGGCTGACGCTCTAACCGCTGAGCCAAACCAACCAGGGCCTCTGCCCATTTTTTTTTTTTTTTTTTTTTTTTATCCTCACCCGAGGACATTTTCCATTTTTTGTATAGATAGAGTGGGAGGGAGAGAGAGGAAGGAGAGAGAGAGAGAGAAACATCGACGTGAAGGGACACATCGAGTGGCTGCCACCCGCACGACCAACCAGGGCCAGGGACAAACTGCAACCGAAGTACGTGCCCTTAGCGGAAACCGAACCCGGGTCTCTCCGGACCGCAGGCCGACGCTCTAACCGCTGAGCCAAACCAACCAGGGCCTCTGCCCATTTTTTAACTGGGTTCTTCGTCTTCCTTTTGTTGAGTTGTATGAGTACTCTATATATATTGAAAATTAACCCCTTATCTGATATATCATTGGCAATGATGCTCTCCCATACAGTGGGTAGCCTTTCCGTTTTGATGACTGTATCTTTTGCTGTGCAGAAGCTTTTGAGTTTGATGTAGTCCCATGTGTTCATTTTCTCCTTTGTTTCTGTTGCCTTAGGTGATGCATCAGTGAAAATTCTGCTGCGTATAATGTCTGAAATTTTGCCTACATTTTCTTCTAGAATTTTTATGGATTCATGAGTCACATTTAAGTCTTTTATCCATTTTGAGTTTATTTTTGGTGTAAGTTGATGGTCTAGTTTCATTTTTTTTGCATGTAGCTGTCCAATTTTCCCAACACTGTTTATTAAAGAGGCTGTCTTGTAAGCTCTTTTTGTTGAGGAAGTGAATCTGTTGTATGTGCTGCAGAAAATTTTTCCCGGTTTGTATTTTGTCTTTTTTTTTAAGTGTTATTTATTTAGCCATATAGAAGTTTTTAATTTTTATCTTTATAAACTTTTCTTTATTGTTGAATATATTACAGATGTCACCCCCTTTTTTCCCCATTTACCCCCTCCTCCCCAATCCCACCCCACTCCTGCCTTCCCCACACTGTTGTCTGTGTCCATTGGTTATGCATATTTGCATGTAAGTTGTTTGCTTTATCTCTTCCTGCCCTCCCTCCCACTTTCCCTTTGAGGTTCATCAGTCTAACAACCGATTTGTACTTCTTAACTTCTTCACCTTTTTCACCCATCCTCTCCACTTGCCTTCCATCTGGCAACCAACAAAAAGTTCTCTATATCTATGAGTCTGTTTCTGTTCTGCTTGCTTACTTTGTAGAATCAATTGTTGATAGATATGTATTTATTGCCATTCTATTGCTCATATTTTTGTTCTTCTTCAAGAAGACCCGTCAACTTTCATATAATACTGGTTTGGTGGTGATGAACTCCTTTAGCTTTTTCTTGTCTGAAAAACTCTTTATATGTCTATTGATTCTAAATGATAGCTTTGCAGGATAGAGTAACCTTGGCTGTAGATTGTTGCTTTCCATCACGTTGAATATCTCTTGCCACTCCCTTCTGGCCTGCAAAGTTTCTTTTGAGAAATCAACTGACAGTCTTATGAGAAATCCCTTGTAGGTAATTATCTGCTTTTCCCTTGCTGCTTTTAAGATTCTCTCTGTCTTGAACATTTTGCATTTTGATGATGATGTGTCTTGGTGTGGACCTCTTTGGGTTCATCTTGTTTGGGACTCTCTACGCTTCCTGGACTTGTATGTCTGTTTTTTTCACCAAGTTAGGAAAGTTTTCTGTCATTTTTTTCAAATAGGTTTTCAATTTCTTGCTCTCTATTTTTTTTCTTCTGGCATCCCCATGATGCAAATGTTGGTATGCTTAAAGTTGTCCTAGAGGCTCCTTACGCTATCCTCATTTTTTTGGATTCTTTGTTCTGATCGGGTGTTTTTTGTTTTTTTATATTCCAAATCAGTGGTTTGCTTCTAAGCTTCACCTACTCAACTATTGAGTCCCTATAAATTATTCTTTATTTCAGTTAGTGCATCCTTTATTTCTGACTGGTCCCTTTTTATGCTTTTGAGTTCTCATTAAGTTCCTTGACATTCTCACTAAGTTCACTGAGCGTCCTTATAAGCAGTGTTTTGAACTCTGCATCTGTTAGATTGCTTTTCTCCATTTTGTTCAGTCCTTTTCCTGGAGATTTGTTCTGTTCTTTAATTTGGGACATGTTTCTTTGTCTCCTCATTTTGGCTGCCTTCCTGAGTTTGTTTCTATGTATTAGGTAGAGTTGCTATGTTTCTTAGGCTTCCTACGGTGGCCTATTGTAGTAGGTGTTCTGCAGGGTCCAGTGGCACAGCCTCCCTGGTCACCCCAGCTAGGCCCTCAAGGTGTACTCCTAGTGTGGACTGTATACCCTTCTGTTGTAATTGAGTCTTGATTGCTGTTGGCACATCAATGGGAGGGATTTACTCAGGCTGATCAGCTATAAGAACTTGTTATGCCCAGTGACCACTGACCTCTGACTACCTTGGAAGATCAGTTGTGCAGGGGCCCACCACACAGAGCAAGACTTACTTCATCAGGGCTCTGGTACCCACTGAGTCCACTCCTTGAGTGTGTCACTTGTGCAGGTGGTTGGGTGGTGATGCTTCGACGTGGCCTGAAGCTGTCCACTGGGTGTGCTGGCTCTGGGGCAAGGTCATCCTCTGCCTGTGTACTACCTGGGACCACCAGGCATAAGCTACAAAGCAATCTACAGATGACTGCTTCTTGTGCTGGTCTTGGAGGTGCCCAGGCAAAACCAAGCTATGAACCAAGGCTGGCTGCTTCTAGTGCCAGGCCTGGGGCCACTTAACTAGAAGTATGGGGTTCGCTGAGTACAGGTGCTGTTTATTTGAGAGAATTTAGGAAAATCTAAAGCATGAGCCAGGACAGGCCAATCCTATGGTAAAGCCACTGGAAACAGCTTGGGTGGGCCTGAAAGTTGGGTGGAGCAGGGCCTCAGGGAATCACCAAGGCGGTGTAAACAGTGTGAGCCAGATTGGTGGAGTCCCAGATATGGTGCCTGTCCCAGATATGGTGCCTGTCTGCCTGCCCTGTGGGGGAAGGGTTCACCAAAGGAACAACGGCCTCCACCAGCACGTCTGTCTGAGAGAAAGCTGCCTTTCCAACTCTCGCCCCAATGCCAAACTCAGTTCCTACATGTCTCTGGCACCTTTCAAGCTGCCTTCCCCACACTGAAGCCTGGAGGGAGCAGGTCCAAGTAAATTTGTGCATGGATCCTTTAAGAGGAATTGCCTGGGACTCCAGCAGCCTCAGCCTCAATTCCTGCTGGTTTTTACAGCCAGAAGTTATGGGAGTTTCTCTTCTTGGTACTGGAACCCTGAGCTGGGGTGCCCGATGTGGGATGGGGACCCCTTACTCCTCAGGACCTTCCCACCCGAGGTATCTTCCTAATTTTTATCCACCACACATGGGTATGGGACCAGCCCACTCGCACCTCTGCCCCTCCTACCAGACTCTATGTGGCTTCTTTTATTTTGGGGGGGGGGGTTCAAATTAAGAGAGCTTTATTAGGCGTGCGGCGACTGTCCCATCCAACGCAGAGGAGAGAGCAGCCCCGAGCTCAGGGGGAGGGTTGCTTATATAGTTGTCTTAGCCCCTGTTAAGGAATTTGGGCTAAGGGTTTGCGAGCAAGCAAGCACATACAGAAGCAGATATTTGCAGTTTATGTGGCTTCTTCTTTAATTTCGTAGTTGTAGGACTTACATTCAGCTCAATTACAGGACATTCTGAATGATGGTTGTTCTGTAGTTTAGTTGTATTTTTGATGTTGTGGGAGGAGGGGATACCTCGGTTACCTACGTCACCATCTTGACCGGAAGTCAGAAGTTTTTATTTTAATATAATGGTGTTAATCAGTCTTTCCCTTTTATGGCTCCTAGCTTGGGATTATGCTTTAGAAAGACTTTTCTACTCAAAGATTGTTAAAATATTCACTTGTGTTTTCTTCTAGTACAAATTCTGCTTCTCTTTTTTACATTTAAATTCTTTGACCCATCTTGAATTTATTTTGGCATAAAGAGTAACTTTTACACCCACCACCA